TACATATTAGCTAACTAGAACCCAGTTTTCAGATTGAAATGAAAAAATAAATAAAAATAAATCACCACTCTATTGCTTGCTGATGGCTCAAATTACAATTTTTTTTTTTTGCTTTCTTCTTTAGAAATTAGTCAAATAAGACCATTGCTGGCCCAAACTCAGCTACCAGTGCATGACTCCACTCCTGAGGCTGGTCAGTAGTCAGAGAGCAGAGAATATGTCCTTATCACATTACTCCTTATCAGACCTGAATCAGGCAGAGCTTGAAGTGTGGAATTCGCCCTACTCCAAAAGCTGTCTTCAGGCACATGTCTATTGCAGAAAAGGAAAAATATTTTCAGTTATGCAATAAATACATGGTAATTTATTTATTATATACCTCTAAGATTAAAAATGAAAATAAAGTAATCCTTCTTTGAAATACTTATATTCTCTGTGATAAATTTAGATTCCTTAATAAACATTATTTTTCTCCTAGAACAGGACACTACAGTTACTAAAAAGAAGAATTTTTGGTTTAGAATTTGTTCCCCATATCTGGAGACTGAAAGAGGGGCAGTAGTATGTAAGTTTTCCATAACATATTTAATTAAAAACTTCCATAAAGACACGTGGCCTTAGTCACCACATACATTCTCCTGAATATCAATTTCATCTTTTAAATTTTTTTGGCAGTCATAACTAGTTCATAAGCTCCTAGACCAACAATGGGATCACAGAAGCAAGAACTTCAGGAAACAGAATTATAATTATTTGGATTTTCAGCAGTTTAAAACTTTATAATAATAAGATTCTGAGTTAGCTTCATTTTCTCTGTAGGGTCAGCACCAAAATTGAATTTTAAAAAACCATTAAATATTTGATCTACTCATACAATAACTTTTTAGCATGCTCCCTGGCCTGATTCTCTAAAATTTAGATTCACAAACTAAGGGGAGATCTTTCTGTCTCTGTCTCTGTCTCTCTATGTCTCTGTTGCTGTCTCTCTCTCTCTTTGTGTTGTGTGTGTATGTGTGTGTGTGTATGCACGCGCACACATAAGTCTGTGTAAAGAAGGCGTGGCAGTCTGTTCTCATTCCTGGGTGATATTAGTACCCAAGAGGCACATTTTAGTTCATCTTCCCTGTAGTTTCTGCCTCTCCTGACCCAGCTCAGAACTGTGGAGTATCTTATTGCATGCACTACTTTGTTCCTGGCTAACCTTGACATGTTGGAAGTAGCTGATGTGGGAACATATTGCAGCTAGCAGGACCCATACCTTTTTCTCCATTTAGGAACAAAAGGATACTGATATATATTACTACTAACAGTTATTAAAATCATGTTTAAAACCACTTGGAGATCTCCTCTTGATGTCTTATATGTACTAGATTAAATATGATTGGCCAGTATTGTAAAACCAGCAGTTCTAAGACTGCTTTACCAAAACTGAGGTACTACGTTATTAGTCACTTAAAAGTCTGAACTTACCATTGTGAAGCATATGAGTTTCTCAATGTAACTGACATCTAGACTTTAACTTTGTTCCAATTTTTCACTGCTCTGCCTTAACCTTATTCCCTGATTCTCCTCCTAAAGAAAAACTTTCTCCAAATAAAACCTACAGCTACAAAGCACATAAAAATCCATCTTGGGGCTAAATTTTAAGAATGTGCCCATGACTGGTTCTCTAGACACCCTCCTTGTCAATCTTGAACACCAGTTTACGTTTCTCAAACACCTGCAGGGCTTGTAACATGCACCATGCACTTGCAGTCTTTTCTAAACTCATTTCATTGAGTTCTTGCTGTATTGACCTCGGGTTCATGTGCCATTTTTCTGTGCTGTGTCATGCTGCAGTGGGTTTATTTCCTAGACTTCCATGTTCCTTCTGGGTTTTGACTATTATTAGTAACATATTTTGGTATACATTTTCCAAAAGGTTTTACAAATTTTTATTTTCTCCAAAATTTTATAAGATCTAGCTGTCCATATCCCTGATGAAACTTGATATTGTTAATTATTTTGTAAATTTTTATTCTAATGGAATACTAAATGAGTTTTAACAGCACAATTAAATTCCTCTACAGTTGGTTCCTAAAGTATTTGTAAGTTATAAAGTCATTTGGCAGTATATTAGTGTAGGTCTGCAGCAGTTGTAAACTCAGCAACCACAGGAACCAGACAAGGAATGTGAAGGAATAGACTTCCTGATGCAAATGCAAGTCAAATGTCAGACAGCAAGGTGTCACTGAGTGCAGACATGTGGCAAGAATTTGATGGAGGAGTAACCAAGAGGGAACTTGACTTTGGGAAGGCATAGTACCACCCCAAGATTCCCTACATATGAAAATAATGCCACTCTATCCCCATACTTTTGTTTTTCAAGAGAAACTCAAACTTAGATTTTCAGTGGAATTCTTTGGTTAGGATTAATCACAATTGCTTCTTTTAAACAAATTTGTCCAGTCATCGCCTAAGATTCACTGTCCATATTTATCACAATGAGTATGAATTTTTATACCTTATAAACAATATATAAGTGCAATATTTCCTGATTCATACTACACCTACATTGAAAAAGTAATTTATATTACTAGTAGATTACCTTTTAAATGCCACCTACTTCCCTAGAGATCTTCATAGTTTCCACATTCTCTTCTCTTATTCTGCTGAAATTTTAATCTGTTTAACCATTGCCATTTAACCTGATTAATGGAATGGAATTAAAAAAGGAATGTATGGAAATTGAATTTAATAGTTATTTAAACTGCTTTTATATGTATGTCTCAGGAAAACAAAAAATTTGTCTATAAGTGCAAAGTTTAATAAAAGTATTTTCCATAGTTCAGAAGTGAAAATCTTAATAAGACTGCCAGAAAGAAATTATTTGTTTAAAATAGTCTTCAACTCCAGAATTAGCATTAAATGTTTTTATATGTGAACATCCTTAGGAGATAACATATATTAATACAATTTCTTATTAGTGTGTCATTTAATATAGATGATATTATAAAAATATTTTAATGAATGAAAGAACACTTGGTGCCAGAAACCCATTAGTAGAAAGACAAAAACAAGTTAATGTAACAATTTTCCTCAAAGCAAAAGTCAGTAAGTTAAGATGTAGTTCAATATTAACTTTTAATTTTTAAAGTTATCTATTCATAAGCAAGTGAAAGTACTCACCTGCAAATTTCAACAGTTTTATCACCAAGAAAAAAGTGCTCTCCCATTTACATAAGATCTAATGGACATAAGTGTATTTGATGAGAGATATGTGCAGCTATTAAAATGAGAATGTGTTTAACTAACACCTGTAATTAAAGTTATTTTGGCAGGAGCATTTTGGCAGAGACATCGAATTGTAGGTGTGGAAGGCTCACTTTAAACTGAAATGTATAAAGACTTATTTTCAAATGCAATTTCTTTTTTTTTTTTTGAATAATAGGAGTTATCCGTGGAATCTGGGATTGATCCTGGCCAGGAATATGGACAAGATTATTACAGTTATGAGCATGGGTACATCTTCAGATTTTTCATTCAGAATTGTGTTGTAATATTTTTAATTAATTGGGAATTACTGATTATGAATAATAGAATTTATTTTAAAGATGTGATTGACTTAGTTTTTTATCTGAAAATGTATAGTGAAAATGATTAGTTTTTTATCTGAAAATGATTTTCATTT